ACAGGCATATAATAAGCTATTTTATAAACTTTATCTCCTATAAATTTTGTTCTGAAAATGACAAATTAGGATATTTTAATATTGTCTCATAAGTAAGTAGTACCTACATGATACATTAATTTAAAATTTACATTTATAAAGGTCCATCATTAATTTTTGTTTTCATTGTCTTCTGGTTAGCTGGTAAATTGGTTTAAATCCTCGTTTGAATTGAAAACAAAAAAATATTGAAAACTGTTTCAATTGTTTTTTTAATTTAATTTAATTATTAATTATTTTATTACTTAAAACTTCTTGTCTATTTGTGTCCAAATACTTTCTTATCACATTTCGTAAATTGCTAAACGAATCAATTAATTATGTGATAACTGTTGATCCATTTTTTCCATGAGAAGCACCATAAAGCAGATTTAAACTAAAATTTATCATGTGTTTGAATGAAAGACAAAGGAGACTGTATTATTTAATGCAAAAACCCTCAAGTTATTTATAATACAATGCTTGTGTCATTGATCTTTTTTTTGATACTTAAATTATGTTACTGCTTTTAATAAAGCTAGCATATTTTGTTAACATGAATATATACAGTTCGTTTCACAGATATGCCGTGTAAACTGATGGGTTTTCATCTAACTGTAAGGATTAAAGGTTTATTACTTATATTATATGCGGATTTGATAAGTTACAAGTCTGATAAGTCTGACACGCAATTGATTTTAGTTTTAGTTCTTTACAGGAGATATTTAGACCATAAAAGCAAATAATATATATTTTTTTACACACCAATCCTAGTATTGTAGGGATATAAGAGTAACGTTAACAGGGACGTGTAAATATAACGATTTATTAAAAGAAACAAGTTATAAGATAAATAAGATTAACTTAACAGAACATGGAAGTTTTACATGAATGAGCCAAGCCCCTAACTTTTTTGAGGGTTATTCTTCGACTCCCGATTCAGTCCTTTTAAAAATTGTACAGTAATCGGTACTTCTTGACCGTCCCAGAGGTCTTTTTCTTTAAGCAACGGTAATAAACTTTACGACAGGGTTGGGTCCGAGGACCTGGCTGCTACATGTACATTTTCCTAGAAATTAGTAAATAATTCTTACGACTATAACAACTTAAAATTTAAACATTAACAACTAACTTATTCTAAGGCACGTCTGCATACTACATTCGGCCATCCTGCATTACATCTGGCCTCAGATGTTAGCATCATCGTCTGTTTCATTTTCGTCGTCAGTTTCAGGTATTTTACTTTCTCGATTGAATTTAGGAAGATTTTCATCATATTGTGCCCACGGTTTCAGGTGGTCAGCTGACACTGATGTCTCGCGCGGCCCTTCATGATTACCTACTTTGCTCACAATGTAGCGGTCGTTACGTAGGACTTTATTTATACGGTATGGACCTAAATACTTGGGATACATTTTCAAACCTGGCCCAAATTGTGTCCGTTTTATTGCGACGAGGTTCTCCACTTGGTAATTTTTTGCCTTTTTACGCTTTTTGTTAAAAGATTTCTTATTTTCTTCCTGCATCTGGGCAATTTTGTCTTTTGCCTCAACACGTATAGCGTCTCGTTCTTCGTCGAACATTTTTGTCCATTCTTCTTCAATGATCTCACGTATACGTTCATCACTCTTCAAACGCATGTCAGTACCAATTAGAAGTTTAAAAGGGGTATTTTTGGTGCTGCGATGAATTGTAGCGTTCAAGTACTTTTGTGCGGTATTTACATGTTTATACCATTCTTCGGGTTTCGGAGCTGACAACTTTGCTAATAATGGAATAAGCGTCCTGTTTACTCGTTCGACCTGTCCATTGCTTCGAGGTACACCTGTTGTAATACATACGTGCTCGATTTTTTCTATTTTGCAATATTCGTTAAATGCTTCTGAGGTAAATGCCGTCCCTCGATCTGAGATAATTCTTCTGGGATTACCGAATATTGCGGACTGTCTCTTTAGCCGATCAATTACGGCAGCTGTGTCTGTGGAACGTGTTGGGTATATCCATACAAACTTTGAAAATGCATCAGTGACAACAAATAAATAACGGTATGATTTCTTTGTTGACGGTATAGGGCCCAAGTGGTCAATGTGATACGTGTCTAACGGTACGCTACCTTTATTTATTGCATGCAATAGACCTTCCTGCTTTCCTTGTTTTTTTTCGACTAAAATACAATCTATACAATTTTTTATGACATGCTCAACTTTCTCTCGCATATTTTTAAACCAATAATCGCGTTTTATGAGAGCCTCGGTTTTATTAATTCCGAAATGACCGTTCTCGTGTGCACGTCTTATAATTTGCATCTGCATACAATTTGGTACAACTATTAAAAATTCATCGTTTACAATTTTATATAAAATATCATTTCTTATCTCATATTCCTTAGTTTTACAATTTCTTATTAACACAAAAATATTAGCTAATTCATTATCTTCATGCTGTGCTCTCTTTAACTTTACAATAATCGCATCATCACATTCACTCAAAGTCATAACATTTGGCAATGGGTTTCTACTAAGTGCATCGACATGTGACATTCGTTTGCCTGGTCTGTGTTCGATTTTATATTGAAATTCTTCCAACAACAGGGCCCATCTTGCAACTCTCACACACAAATCTTTCTTATTCATAGTCATTTGAAACGCTTGGCAATCAGTTACTATTGTAAACGGTATGCTTAATAAATATACTCTAAATTTCTTTAACGCCTTTACTATTGCTAACACCTCGAGCTCATAGCTGCTATATTTTTCTTCTGCGGAGGTAGTTTTACCACTCGCAAAATATACTGGGTGAAACTTCATGTCATCTGTATCTCTTTGCATTAAGATTGCTCCATATCCTAAGCGCGATGCATCCGTATGCAGTTCAGTTTCTGCATTTACGCGATAAATCTTTAAAACTGGCTTTGAACATAATGCAGCTTTTAGTGTCTCAAATGCTTCTACCTCAGCTAATCCAAAATTAAATTTAACATTGGCTTTTAATAAATTCGTTAACGGGCGAGCTATCATAGAGTATCGCGGTATGTACTTTCGAAAATAACCTGTAAGGCCCAAAAAACTTTGAATTTCTTTAATACTACCCGGCTTAGGAAAGTTAGCTACGGCGTTTGTTTTATGTTCTGAGGGTCTAACGGTGCCATTTTCAACAATGTGGCCTAAGTATTCTACCTGAGATTGTAAAAATTTACACTTTTTCCAGTTTATGAGTAGCCCATGATCTGCAGCTACTTCCATAACTGTCCTTAAATTTACCATAGCTTCATTATAATTTATTGCAAGGATAACAACATCGTCCATGTAAGTTAAAACTATCTTTTTATGAATTAAGTCTTTAAAAACAGCATTTATATATCTTTGGAAAACGGATGGTGAATTACATAGACCAAAAGGTACTTTCAAAAATTCATATTGACCTGTAGGGGTAATAAAAGAGGTATATTTACGACTGTCTACGTCTATAGAAACATGAAAAAATCTATTCTCAAGATCTATTGTACTAAAAACTTTTGTATTTTGAAGTAAATCTAATTGATCTTCTATTAACGGCAACGGGTACCGGTCTTTTACTATCTTTTTGTTCAGAGCCCTATAATCGATACATACTCGCGTAGATCCATTCTTTTTTTTACCAATACG